GGAAAAGACCTCTAAAATCATCACATCCAGCTGTAAACCCAACACTGCCATGATCACTGAACTGTGTCCCAAAGGAAGAGTGGAGGCACAACACGATGTCTCTGCCTGTGCTGGGTGTGCTCCTTGTTGTCCTTCATGGACACAGACATGTATCTGGGGCCTTTGCTGATGCTGGAGCACTCTTCCCACTCCCTAGATCACAAGGGTTTGCTGGTGGTGTCTTGCCACAGAGAGCCCAGCAGGCGTTGAGCACGAGGTCTGTGAATGGGTTACAGGCTGCTGCTGCTGCTCTTCAGAAGCTAATTGAGCAGCCCCAGGCCAGAGCTGCTCCCACAAATTAAACCACTTGGATGAGCGTGTGGCTGTCTTCCTGTGCTGGGCTGAACAGCTGGCTGAGACACAGCCACCTCACCTAAACCCCAGCCAAACTCCTGAGGCAGCATGATGACTGCAAATGAGGAGAAAAATCCATGGCTGGAGATGTTAAGCTGCTCTGGGAAAGGCAGTGAGCAAACATTTGCTGAGTGGTCTGTGGGAGGCAAGGGACAGCATTTGGTCTCCAGGCAGCCCAGGCTTTCTCTGGTCCCTCAGAGGACCTCAGGGTGCAGGCAGCTCTGGATGGGCATCCCCCTGGCACTCCTGGGTACCACCACGTGGAGGTTCCTACTGACCAGGCACTCACCAGTGGTGGATTCTTACACAGACACCTGGTGGGGAGCTGGGACAGGTCGTGCTCTCTTTCTTCAACACCCTTTGCTGGCTGATACTGGCCAGAAGATGCCAGCTGGATGGGAGAAGTCCAACCCCTGCTTCTCCACACTCATCAGTGTTCCCTTCCAGGTCTTTGGGCTGGGCAACAAGACCTATGAGCACTTCAATGCCATGGGAAAGTACGTGGACAAGAGGCTGGAGGAGCTCGGAGCCCAGCGCATCTTTGAACTCGGGCTGGGAGATGATGATGGCAAGTGAGTGGCTTGGCTTGAGCTGAAGCATCATGAAAAGGACCTTGGCAGGGAGCTGGCTCTGCTGCCAAGGCAGAGTTAAGCTCTCTAGGGTGCATTGCAGGAGGTGACACATCTCTGAGCCTGTCTGTCTGCTTTTCCCCCAGTCTGAACCCTGTACACTTGGAGTAGGCTGGGGAGCCCCACACCAGCTGTCAATGGCCTTATCCAGATACTCAAGGAGGTTTTGCAGCCTCCTTGGCCTTTGCCCTGCTGCAGCTCTGTTGCTAACCCAGCCTGTGTGGACAAACTCACCCATCCCTGGGGAGGAGGCAAACTCTGTCTCTGTGTAATCCCCTTGGTTAATGGGGAAAGGCAGCAATTTCCAACTCAGAAAATGATTTTTTTTTTTCCTCCTCTCTCTACTTCTCTGAGCACTGTGTGGGTAGTGGCTTAAGTGGGGGGTTTCACCAGCCTGTAACTTTACCTCTTAGGGCTGTGAGATCTGAAGAGAGGGCTGTGCTGTGGGGGGGAGGCTCTGAGCCAGAAAAATAAGCACTGCCATGGTGTAATCTGCCTTTTAGAAAAGTAACCTGATGTCAGAGGTGGGCAAGAGGGAGCTGAGTTGGCTTAAGGCTGAGCCTGAATAGCAAATCCTGCCTTGGCAGGCCTGGTGGAGGGAGCTGGCTGGAATAGCAACAGTTCCCTTCCATGTAGTGATCTGAAGATGCTCTTCTGGTGACCTGTGGGCAAACAGACATACCAGACCTGCCTGGATCCAAGGGCAAATGCCTTTTCTCATGGTGAGGGAGGAAGTCCATAGGGATCTCAGGTGGCTTCTCTAGGAACAGAGCTGTGATCCCCCCAGGCAGGGTTGTTCAATCTCTCTTTTGCCTTGGCCAGCCTGGAAGAAGACTTCATCACCTGGAGAGAGCAGTTCTGGCCAGCAGTGTGTGAGCACTTCGGGGTGGAGGCTACTGGAGAGGAGTCCAGGTGGGTATGGGAGCAGGTTCTCTGGCTGGTGGCTGTGCCATCAGCCCTGAGCTGCTGTCCCCTCCCTGCCAGGCTTCAGAGGGCACGTGTGAAGTAGAGCAGCAACTGGGGCTGTTTGGGCTGAGCCTGAACCCAGCTCTGGATCTCTGTTGTGACTGTGGGGGGCTTGGTTCCTCTGTGGGTGGCTTTGCTGGGCAGTGATACTCCTGGTGAAGGTGAGGTGTCCTCTTGCTTTGGGCTTTCTGCACGATCTGCCTGATCCCTCACGTGTCGAGAGGGGCAAACTGGTGGCAGCTGCATTTGTTTCTGAACTGCTGCAAAGCAGACGATGGATTTCCAGTTTGATTTTATTTTTTCTTCCTCTTTTCTCCCTCTTCCTCCTGCAGCATCCGCCAGTACGAGCTGGTGGTGCACACAGATGTGAACATGAACAAGATCTACACTGGTGAGATGGGCCGTCTGAAGAGCTACGAGAACCAGAAGCCGTGAGTGCCAGAGCTCCCTGGGGGGGAACATGGGCCAGGCTGTGGCTGCTGGGTCCTGCTGCTCCTCACAGCACCTGCTCTGCAGGCAGTGTCACATGCAGTGGAGCCATGTGGCAGCTCAGATCTCTACTGACTGAGGAGACAGCACAGAATCGTAGAGTCACTAAGGTTGGGAAAGGCCTCTAAGGTCATCAGGTCCAAGCAGCAACCCAACACTACCACAGCCACTAAACCATGTCCCCAAGTGCCATGTCTGCATGTTTTCTGAACCCCTTCAGGGATGGGGACTCCAGCACTGCCCTGGGCAGCCTGGGCCAAGGCCTTGCTGTTGGCTGTGACCACAATGAGTTGTTAGGGGTGAGAAGGTGACTGTGTTCACATGTGCTCTCTGGCTGGTGCCTCTGCAGGGTCTGCCCTGAGGTCACTCAGAGCCTTTCCTTGCCCAGGGTAACTAGCACATGCAGTCCTGCTGTGGGGAAATGAGCTCTAGAAATTAATTCCCACCTGAAATACTTCTATGAGATGGGTCAGTCCCTCTGATCCACTTTGGTGAGACAGAGGCTGTTGACTGCTGGGCTGTGCTTAGGAGACCAATGATGTGTTTCCTGGGCCAGCGTGGGCAGCAGCAGGATGGTGACGTGCTTGGTGCTGTGGTGCACTTTGCACCACGAGCCAGGCCAGCCCTGTGCCCAAATCACAGGAGCCTGCTCTGGAGGATACTCCAGCACTGTGAGCCTGCAGGAGAAGAAACCCAGAGGGCCCTTGTGTTTCCTTCCAGACCGTTTGATGCCAAGAACCCCTTCCTGGCCCAGGTGACGGAGAACCGCAAGCTGAACGAGGGTGGAGAGAGGCACCTCATGCACCTGGAGCTGGACATCTCCAACTCCAAAATCAGGTAGCCTCCCGTGGGAGACTGCTCCTCTCTTCTGGCAGGAGCAAAGAGCACTTCAGAAGGGAACCTGGTTCTCATAATTACTTAACCCTGCTGTCTGGGCCTCTGCAGCACAGAGCAGGTACCCTGTGAGGGCTTTCTGCTGGCTCTTGTGCTGGGCCTGGCCATGCCAGGCTCCTCTGGAGCTGGCTGCATGTACCTGTCCTTCCAGAGCATTCCCAGCTGGAAATCCTGTAGGAGTCACTCAAAAAGTGAGGGGGGAGATGAGGTAGGAGAGAGGGAGAGCTGGGGATGGGTCACACCTGGGTTTGCTTTAGGGGGAATAAAGCCCCCTTCTTAAAACCCTCCTGCTGGCTTCAGTTCCCCTGTGTGTGCTTGTGAGAAAACCACAAAACCAGGTGTTTTAACATAAAATCCTGCAGAGGCTTTGAGCAGCTCTGCTCCCTGCCTGTCAGGGAGTTGGCCTGCCTTTGCTGGAAGGTTGGCCTCCTTGAAGTCTCTTCCAAAACCACTGTTACCTTGGAGGTCCTTTGTAAAAGACCTGCTTCCTAAAACCATTTTCCACAGCAGTCGTTTCTGATGTGACTGCCAAGTCTTCAGGGTCCTGTGTAGGAGCTCTAGACCTCAGTCTTGTTCTGCTGCCCCTTGCAGCAGCCTACTTGTCTTCTCTCTGAGCAGCTTGGCTTGGGGTGGAGGAGAGGTGGTGCTGATGTTCCCTCTGCTCTCGTGGCAGGTACGAGTCCGGGGACCACGTGGCCGTGTACCCAGCCAACGACTCTGCTCTGGTCAACCAGATTGGAGAGATCCTGGGCACGGATCTGGACACAATCATGTCCCTAAACAATTTGGACGGTGAGTAGGGGTCACCTCTGAGCATCAGCAGTTCTTCAGCTGTGACCTCCAGCAGAGCAGGAGCCAGATCACCCTCAGGTCCCTCGGGCAGCCGTGGGCAGGGCTGTGCCGTGGCAGCGGTGGCACAGAGCTGTGCTGAGAGCCAGCTGAAGTGGGTCAGTTGTGAAATGCACTTAGTGTGCCTGTGCAACAACAAATTATGTAAGAGCACACTCCTAATTACAGAGGGTCAGCCCTCTGGAGCATCCCTCTGGCCCAGCAGCCCCAGCAGGGAGCTCAGCGGGGGCCCTCGTGGCTGAGGTGCTGCTATTTGGTCCTTGGAGAGGCCCAGGCCTGGACTGAGCTGCCAGGAGGGAGCACAAAGAGCAGCTCTTGGGCAGTGTTCCCAGCAGAGCTGTCCTGTGGCAGGGGGGAGATGGCAACTGCTGCCCAGCTTACTCCTGACGTGGTGCAGCCTGACCTTAGGCATCAGGTGGGGGGGTCCAGAAGCCTAAAAGAGCTAATGGTTTCAAGAGCACCAGTGGCTCTAATGCAGTGCTGGAGCCTGCAGCCCTCTGTGTGGTGTCCTGTGTTGTCCAGCCTCACACTGTCATTCCTGTCCCTTACTGACCCCTGAACTTGCTGAAGGGAGTGGCTCCAGCTTTGGCTGCTGGTGGTTCCCTTTCCCAAGGGGGTCTGAGCACCACTGTCCACAGCTGAAGGGGACTAAGGACACTTTTTGGGGCCAGATCTGAAGGACGTGTAAGGGCCTGAGGCCAAACTAGCCATGGAAAGCAGCCCTCCTGCTTGGTGTGGGGGTTTGCTGGGTGCCTCTCTGTGGGCATCTCGGGGCAGAACCTCACTGGGAGCACAGGGTATTTTCTTTTTTGCTGATAAACTGTCAGGCAGCATCTGTGAAACACAAAATGGGCTCCTGGGAGATGGAGCTGCCTGGAGAGGGAGCTGCCCTGTGCTGGAGCTGCTCCTGTGTGGGATCTGGGCTTCAGCCAACAGGCTGATCCAGCCCTAGGGCTGCGCTCTCCTCAAAGCTCATTCCCCTGCTCTGTGTCCACCTCTCACACACTGCAGGTACCTCCTGACACTGCATCTCTAACATAACAGCACGCAGTTGCTGATTTTTAATTCTTTTTTTTCCTCTCCCTCTCCTCCAGAGGAATCCAACAAGAAGCATCCCTTCCCCTGCCCCACGTCCTACCGCACAGCCCTGACCTACTACCTGGACATCACCAACCCGCCCCGCACCAACGTCCTCTACGAGCTGGCCCAGTATGCCACAGACCCTGGCGAGCAGGAGCGCCTCCGAAAAATGGCATCCTCTGCTCCTGAGGGCAAGGTGGGACCTGTGGCCTTCCCAGCAAAGCTGCTGGGTTCCTCTGGGGGCTGGGGCATCCCCCAGAAGGGCCCGGGATGGCTGGGGAGCAGGGGCGGGGAGCACAGGGGGGTGTTTGCCAGCCACGCAGAGCCGTCAGCTGGATGTGTGGCCTCTTTGCCCACAGGCTCTCTACCTCAGCTGGGTGGTGGAGGCCCGGAGGAACATCTTGGCCATCCTGCAGGACATGCCCTCCCTGCGCCCACCCATCGACCACTTGTGTGAGCTCCTGCCACGCCTGCAGGCCCGCTACTACTCCATCGCCTCCTCCTCCAAGGTGAGCCCCTGTGGCACTTGCTGAAGGGGGGTGGCATCAGCTCTATCCATGCATGAGGTGAGGGGGTCATCCCAATTTGCCCAGGGTGTGCAGAGGACCCCACTGTGCCCTGCTCCTCTTTGCCTGTAGGCTTTGCCTTCGCTTTCAGGGCCTGGAAGCAAGGTGGTGATTTAGGGGTTGGTCGAAACTCACTCTTCACTGGGTGGCTGGAGCCCTGAGGCTGTTGTCACAGCACCACTGAGCTTCCCCCGGTGCTGTGGAGTCTGGCACAAGACAAGCCCCATGGGGAGCGTGCTGGGAGGTTTCATCTGGCACTTCTCCCCGGGGCTGGGCTGTGGGGCTGCCGGGGCTCCCTCCCTGCCTGGCACTGCTGCTGTTTCCCTGCAGGTTCACCCCAACGCCATCCACATCTGCGCCGTGACCGTGGAGTACGAGACCAAGACGGGGCGCCTCAACAAAGGGGTGGCCACCAACTGGCTCAAGAACAAGGTGCCCAAGGAGAAGGGGAGCAGCTCCCTGGTGCCCATGTACGTCAGGAAGTCGCAGTTCCGCCTGCCCTTCAAACCCAGCACGCCCGTCATCATGATCGGGCCGGGGACGGGCATAGCCCCCTTCATCGGCTTCATCCAGGAGAGGGCCTGGCTGAAGCAGCAAGGTGAGGGCCCAGGAGCTTCCCCGGGAGGGGAGCTGCTGCAGGATGGCACCCTGAGGGGCTCTGTGCTGCCTCCAAGGTGCAGCTTGTGCTGCTCACCTCACCCGAGCAGAGGTGGTGGAGCAGGGTGAGGAGCAGCTGCATGCCCAGCACCAGGGTGCTCTGTCCTCTGACCCACAGAGGGTGTCTGGGGGGGGAATAGACCTCCCCAGACCACTGACCCGATCTCTGACCTCTGCCACCACTTCTCTGAATGACCATGCTTAAGTCCCTTAGGCTCGTTTCTAAGGTTGTGGCTACTTGGGAGTCAGTCTGGAGCTTCCCCTTAGAGGCTGGAGCATGGTGCAGCTCTGCCTCACCAAGCTTGGTGGGACAGGGGGAGGTGGGTGCTGCTCACGGGTGCTGCTCTGTGACTCTGCAGGCAAGGAGGTGGGTGAGACAGTGCTGTACTACGGCTGCCGCCACCAGCGTGAGGACTACCTGTACCGGGAGGAGCTGGCCCGCTTCCAGCAGGAGGGAGTCCTCTCCCAGCTCAACGTGGCCTTCTCCAGGGACCAGGCTGAGAAGGTACCACTGGAGTGACACAGCTGCCTGCCCCTGCTGCCCACTGTTGGGGGGAGGAAAGGCCCCGGGGCTGGAGGGGGGAGCTGAGCTGCTGGGGAGGGCCTGTGGCAGGCATGGGGAGCACCCAGCACCTTCTCTGCCTGGTGGAACCCTGGGCATGGGTCTGGCTTCCCTCCCTTGCCATGGCTGGTGGTGTGGGGGCTCTGCTCCTCTCACCTCCCCCCCCCCACCTTGTTTCCTGCCAGGTGTACGTTCAGCATTTACTGAAGAAGAACAAGGAGAATATCTGGAAGCTGATTAATGAGGGGAATGCTCATATCTACGTGTGTGGGTAGGTCTGGGGGCAGGGAAGAGTTTTCTATTCTCAGAAAAATGAGTGTGACTCAGTTTACCCACTTGTAGTGAGCAGGGTGAGGGGTGATGGCTTCAGGCTGGAACGGGGGAGATTCAGACTGGAAATTAGGAGGGAATTCTTCACTCTGAGGGTGGTGCGACCCCGGAACAGG